TCCGACACGTGAGCCCCGCCTTTCCCACAGCCGCCCCCCACCCCCCCCACGCCCCTTGGCCTCATCCAAGGCCCTTTGGACTCCGCCCATTCTCTCGGACTTCCAAGTTCCTTGTTAGGTCTCCAGCGCCTCAAACTCCTACTTAAACCCGCTTACATAGGTTCATGATGGGAGAGGGAGGGTAGAAGGGATGGAGGGTCACGCTGAGTGTCCCCGTTCATTCTCCGCAGAAGATGGTTACTGCCTTGGGCACCCACTGGCACCCGGAGCATTTCTGCTGCGTCAGTTGTGGGGAGCCCTTCGGAGATGAGGGTGAGAGCTTGGCTCCAGTCCTGAAAGATACCCGTCTGCTCGATATCCCACCTCGCACGCTGTGGTCCAGCCTACTACAACCTCGCGTCTTCTGGCCCCACCCTCTCCCACAATCGGGGGCCCCTCCTATTCCCTCCCACTCGACCTCCACCCTAGACCCGATCCCTCCCTCTCTGCTGCTCATTCTGACTGCCCCTCATCTGGCCCCACAGTCTCAGATCTTGCAAGTCCTGGGTGCAGCCCGCGTTTTTTTTTTCTTTCCGCTCCGTTCCCGCCCGTAGGTTTCCACGAGCGAGAGGGCCGCCCCTACTGCCGCCGGGACTTCCTGCAGCTGTTCGCCCCGCGCTGCCAGGGCTGTCAAGGCCCCATTCTGGATAACTACATCTCGGCGCTCAGCGCACTCTGGCACCCGGACTGTTTCGTCTGCAGGGTGCGCGGCTGTGGGAGGGGTGGGGGGGGTGAGGGGAGGAGAGGAGCTGGGCCAACCGGGAGCCCAACTAGGAGCCTGGGGCGGGGCGATTATTCAGGTATTCAGGGCACGGTGCTTCACGTCTGGGGTGGGGTTGTGGGCAGCGGGGTTCCCACTTTGGGTTATTAAGCTCCTAAAGCTAGTTATCTGGTCAGGGGGTTGGCGGCTGACCTATCCTTTCGCGGCCTCCCGCCCCCAGGAATGCTTCGCGCCCTTCTCGGGAGGCAGCTTTTTTGAGCACGAGGGCCGCCCGCTGTGCGAGAACCATTTCCACGCGCGGCGTGGTTCGTTGTGCGCCACGTGTGGCCTCCCCGTGACCGGCCGTTGCGTGTCCGCCCTGGGCCGCCGCTTCCACCCAGACCACTTCACCTGCACCTTCTGCCTGCGCCCACTCACCAAGGGCTCCTTCCAGGAGCGCGCGGGCAAGCCCTACTGCCAGCCCTGCTTCGTCAAGCTCTTCGGCTAATCGACTGTGAGGCCTGGCCCTGCGAGAGCCCAAGGCCCTAATGACCCCACCCTTCCCCAAAAGACCTGCTCTCCAGACCCCAGGGCCTTGCTCTTTGAGCCTAGGGGGTCTCTCCCCAGCCCACCCTGTGAGGCCCCACCCACTGGAGAGACCCGCCCCTGAGGTACTCTACTCTTGAGGTCTCCATGGTCAAATTCAGAAAAGGTCCCGCCAATTTCAAGACCACACGGGTGGGTCATACACTGTAAAACAACCCCGCCCGAGGTCTTCACTTTATCCCCACCCTTGAGGGAGCCCCCTGACTGGAGGTGGGCCCTTGCAATTCCGTCTGATCAGAGGACAGGCCAGGACAGACCTGCTCCCCGCTCCCTCACTGTTCTGTGCACTTTTTTTCTGCCCACATAAAAACACATGCCACATCATGTTGGTGCGGTGTCTCTGAGTGCTGGGGAAAGCCGTGCGTGGAGACGCCCTGCCTCTTGTGCTGGTTCCGGCTGCCGCGGGTTCTAGGTCACTGCCCCGTGGCCGCAGGGGGACCTGCAGCCTCAGCCTTTGCAGGCTGTCCTTCACATGTCAGATGAGCCTGCGCTGGATTGTACAGATAGTGGGGAACCAGAACAGGAGCTCAGGCTGGGCCCCATGGAAACTTCCCACCCTCATTCCCCACTTCCTCAGCAACCTGTATCCTTGAAATAAGCACTTAATCTGTCTCCACCCCCACCTCTCACTCCCACTCCCTCCCACCCTTGTCACCTTGTCTAATTTTCAGATTTTTCTCCCCTCCTGAAAAGACCCTCAGAGATGGGGCTCCATCCAGAAGTGCCAATTTGTGCCCACTCCTTGGATCTGGGCCCTAAGGCACAGCTTCCCTCTTACTCATATTGACTCATAACGTCTCCCCTAAGCAGAGGATGACACTTGGGGTGGTCAGAGCAGTGACCAAAGGAAGCACCAGGGGCTGTTAAGAGCCAGAAGGAGGCTTTTAACTCAGACTGAGAGTCAAGTAAGTCTTCCTAGAGGTGGAGACACCTGAGCTAAGCCCCAACAGAAATGGGTGGGCCACGGATTTTTAGATGTGGAGTTTAGGCTCCATCTGAATCCCTAAGCCCCAGAGCCTTTCTGAGCCTCTGAACCTTCACTTTAGACCCTGCAGTTCCCTAGGGAAAGGACTTGGATTCCTGGGTCCAAACTGTAGGAGACTTTGAAGCTGGAAATGATGGATTCTCAGAGGCCCTTCCTGCTTGAGGAGGAGCTGGTAGCCAAGGAGAGCATGTGTGGGTAAGACAAAGGTGAGGTGTTCTCTGTCCTCACCTCGGCCTGACCCCCCCAGATTCTTTCCTCTCTGAGGCTCCTCTCCCTAGGTCTTCTCAGGCTTCCTGCTCTTCTCCTTCCACATATTCTCTCTGGAGAATTCTATTTCCTGGCTTGTAACCACCTTCCTGTCTTGAGGAGGCCCCAGTTGGCCATCTCTAGTCTTGATTCACTCATTTCACCAAGTGTTTATTGAGTATGTACTATGCCAGGCTCTATATCAGGTGCTGGGGAGACCATAGGGAACCAAGCAGACATGCTTCTTGACCTCGTGGAGCTGAAGTCTAGTAGAGGAGACAGATGACAAATACCAAGTGACACATGTGATGAACTAATGGAGACTTTCCTCATGGCCTAAGTCAAGGTCACTCTTCCTCCTTGTTTCCATCCATAGCACCCCCAAAGTCCCTCAAAGCACTTATCACTATTGCAAATAGGTGTTTATTTGTTGCTTGTCTATGTCTGTTTTTCAAACTGGAATGCAAGCTCCTGAGAATTTGTCTGTCAGATTACATGTTTGTTTTGCTGACCATTGTCCCTCCAGTGTCTAGAACGCTATCTAGCCCTGTGGAAGGTGCTCAGTGAATGCTTGTTAATGAAGGATGGAATGAAGAAGAAAGGAAAGGAGGGAAGGGGAAAAGGGGAAAAAACAGAGAACTGAGTTAGAGAAGGTGAGAAAGGGATTACTTTTAACCAAATAGTCGGTCTCTGTGAATATGGAACATCTAAGTTGAGACTTGGAAGGTTGAGGAAAGAAAACAGCCAGGCGAAGAGCCTGAGGAGAGCATTCCGGGCAGAGGAAACAGCAAGTGCAAAGGCCAGGAGGTAGGAAGGAGCTTGGCATATTGAACGAAAGGAAAGAAGGCCAGTAGGGCTGGATTAGGGGGAGTAGAGGGGAGAGTAGTAGGAGATGAGGTCAAAGAGGAAATACATGCCCCATCATGAAGGGCGTTGCAGGCCACAAAGAGGGCATACAGATTTTAAGGGCCTATAACCCCCTTGTATCCTCCGACATTTGGACCTGGATTTCTCTCAGGCACTTCAAATGTATCACCCCCTGAAGCAGACGCTGTGGATGTGCTGCCCATACCCACTCAGCCCACCTGGGAAGTCATATGTAGACAGTTAGTTCCCAGACACCTAGTCTCCCCAGCTGCTCCCCGAGTTTCTGTCTGCGGGTACTCTCTGGGGAAACAAGTGTGCTCCTGCACCCAGCAGGCCTGAAGCGGGAGGGCGAGGTTCTGTAACCTTAGCGACAGGAATTGGTGAATAAATACTCCAGCTTCCTGGCTCGGAGAGGTCAATTCTGAGGTGTGTTCCCCACAGTGTCTCAAATAGTCCCCACTGGGATTGTTCATAGTGGCAACCTTTTAATCAACATGCCACTTATTGACGTTTCTTCTTTGTCTCAATACCTTCCTGGGGTCACCTCCTCAGGAAAGTCCTTGCACCCAATTCTCATCTTCAGGTCTGCTTTGAAGGGACCCAAACTAAGGCATTCCTTAAATATATTCCCCTAAAATATTGTTTTCTGTTTTCCATCTCAGGCATGAACCCAACTTGTCATAATCAGACATCCGAGTCTGGCCGATTCTTCTAGAAAGGCAGACCTACTGATATTTATCAATACCCTCCCTTCTGTTCAGTCCTGTGCTGAGCAATGGGACTCCAGGGATGAATCAGGCCATTTCCTGCTTGTGGGTAATCTCTAGTCTGTTGGGAAGGCAGACCTGGACCCAGACGAGGACAACACAATGTGCTCATAACTGTATCAGAAAAGTCAGAGAAGCCTTCCCTGGAGAGTTGACATGGGCTGGGTACAGAAGGTTACCCCTGAGAGGTATGAGTGGGCCATCTGGGAGGCAGGGAGGCACTCTAAGCAGAATGCACAGCTTAGGCAAAAGTTTGGGTATGTGAAAATACAGGGACTGGGCAGGGCAAGGGAGTTGGAGGGAAATGTGGTATCACCCCAGGTTTGGTGTGGAGGAGCAAGGGGAAGGGTGGGCAAGAGTCAGGGGATGACAGGCCTTGAACATGAGGCAGAAGCGCTCCTACTTCCTTTAGTATGATGGGAAGCTAGGAAGGGTTTCTGAGCAGGGTAGAGACACTGTCAGATTTGGGTTTGAAAATGATCCCTCTGGATTAGTCAAAACCAGGAGGCTGGCTCAGCCACGCTCCCCAGGTCAAGGCTGAAGGGTAAGCATGGGTGAAAGGAGTAATTTTGAGCCTGGGTCACAGGGGAAGGGGTGGGGGCTAAGGCCCAGGAAGGAGTGCTCCTGAACTTGAAAGTGCTCCACAGGACGAGTTTTCGGCCTTGATGAGACCTGATTCAGCTAAACAAAGCTGGGGAGGGGGGACAAGACCTAGGGGACTTGCCGGCTCACTGCCCCTGAGGTAACCATTAATCCCTCCCGTGAGGAAATCCACGGACTGGTCCCTTGAGGGACAGATCCCAGGCAGAATGGAGGAACACACAGAGGCAGGCTCCGTACCGGGACTGGGAAACCAGAGGGTTTTAATTAACAACTCTGCTGACATCCTGGTCATTGCTGCTTATTTCCTGCTGGTCGTTGGTGTCGGCTTGTGGGTGAGAAGTTGGGGTGCTGCTGGAGGCCAGGCTTCTGGGGCTTGTGGGGAAAGTCTCAGGGAGACTCCATGTTTAGTAGGGGTGGGATGCCTGGATCTTTGAGGAAGAAACCTAGGGCTGGGGGGCAAGCAAGTCTTTTGATAGTCTCAGGAAGGCCCAGCCAATACTCATTCCTTGTCTTCCCACTTTTGGATTTGGGTTAGTTGAAGGGATCAGTGGATTTTCATCAGGGACAGCATTCTAAATGAGGTCTCTGTTCCCCTGTCCACGCAGTATCTGACCAGAAGCCCATCCTTATCCAAGGCCCCAGGAAAAGTCAGGCCAAATCCAGCCACACTCAAGCTTGGGTAGCTGGGCACTAGGTTAGGGCCCGGGTTGCTCTAGGTGCCTCAGAGGAGGTTGGGGCAGGGTGTTGGGTGGGAACCATCAAGAGAGCCAAGGGCTGGTTAATCTTCAGCCGGAAACGAGGATGAGGAATGTATTGAGAAGGCTAATGAGGTCCAAAGATGTGCTCCGAACCCAAGTCTCTCCCCCTCCCCCACTCCTCTCCCTCAGTCCATGTGCAGAACCAACAGAGGCACCGTTGGCGGCTACTTCCTGGCAGGACGAAGCATGGTGTGGTGGCCGGTGAGAGAGGCTGTGCGGTGGAGGGGGGCGAGGCCTAGAGAAGCAGCCTAGCTCACCCCCCCACTCTGACCATCTAGGTCGGGGCCTCTCTCTTTGCCAGCAACATCGGCAGTGGCCACTTTGTGGGCCTGGCAGGGACTGGTGCTGCAAGCGGCTTGGCTGTGGCTGGGTTTGAGTGGAATGTGAGACCCTCTTTTTGCTGATACCCCGCCCCCGGTGGGAACCCCTAGAACTGTCACACCTGGGGAGGCTCCAAGCAGGGGGGATGTAAGACGAGGTGGGACCTCCCAAGTGGTGGGGTGTGGTTGGGCTTCGAGTGAGGGTCACACATCCAGCTTGCGGGCAGGGGGATTTTGGAGATGACGACTTTCAGGGCCTGCTCCTGACTCGCTGGGTAAGCCTGGACCAGCCACTACCCTCTGTGGCCTTGATTTACTCCTCTCTGAAGTGGGGTGAACAGCCTCGAAGACAGTGAAGTGCTTGCGCTGATGCTCTCTGAAGCTGTGGCCTGTGAAGATCCCTGGACCAAATTAAAGTCCCTTGCAGAAGTGGGAAGGAGACAAGGCTCTGGGACTGAGGCTTGTCTTTGAGGCTTGGGGAGATCAGGGCTTCCTGGAGGAGGAGGAGGTCTCTGTGCCGAGTCTTGAGGGACAGAGGGTTTGGTTGGGTGGAGAGGAGAGGGGAGGCAGCCCTTCCTGGCAGAGGCTGTGGTCAGGCTGAGGGGTCTGTGGTTGGATTTATGTGCTGGGGGGTGAAGGCATAGGGACCATCTTGGGAGGGACTGGCCAGGGGTCTTGGCCTGGGAGGGCTAGGAGGGCTCTAGTTAAGGGCCCAAGGAGGTGTCAAGACCCTGTCCCTTAATATCCCGGGCCCAGGGACATCCTCGGCAGTTGCATCCTCTGGGTCCCCAGTGAGATCTTTCCTTGGTATAGCACTTTCAGGAAGAGGTCTCTCAGACCCTCCAGGGGCGAGGGCTCACTCATAGCAGGATCTGTCATCCTCAGCCATCAGCTGTGCCCACAGGCGCTGTTCGTGGTGCTGTTACTGGGCTGGGTCTTCGCACCAGTGTACCTGACCGCGGGCGTCATTACCATGCCACAGTACCTGCGCAAGCGCTTTGGAGGCCATCGTATCCGCCTCTACCTGTCAGTGCTCTCGCTTTTTCTGTACATCTTCACCAAGATTTCGGTGCGCACTCATGGAGGGCGGGGCGGGGCCCTGGAAGGGAGGGACCAGGGAGTGGAGGTCTCTCGAAAACTCTGGAGGGGGCGGGACCAAGGAGAAAGAGCTTGTAAGAGCCATGTCTGAAGCAGGGTCTGTAAGGAAAAGGTTTTGGGCCTCGGCCACAATGGGTGGGACCTGGGAAGGCCAGACCATCGAAAAATAAGAGAACTTTGGAAGCAGGGCCATGTAGGGTCGTGGTCTGGGCATGAGGTAGACCTGGGTCCCTGTCTGGGTCCCTGGGTCCTGACCCGTGCTATCGCTCCTTCCCCCAAGGTGGACATGTTCTCCGGGGCAGTATTCATTCAACAGGCTCTGGGCTGGAACATCTATGCCTCTGTCATCGCCCTTCTGGGCATCACCATGATCTACACTGTGACAGGTGGCTGTGGCAGGGGCTTAGGGACGGAGTGGTCTCGAGAGATGTGCTGGGTGGGAGTGTCACTGAAGCACATTCTGCTAAGTCCTGCCTCCTGATGCCCGGGTACATGATCCTGGAGAATGGGCCATTTCTTTGAAATTTGCTCTCCAGGAAGGGGCACATTTTTCAAATTCGCACAAAGACACCGTATGTACTCGTGGCAACCTATGTGGGCTGTCTCCACTGACCCAGGCCCGTTGCAGGAGGGCTGGCGGCGCTGATGTACACAGATACCGTGCAGACCTTCGTCATTCTTGGGGGGGCCTTCATCCTCATGGGTTACGGTATGGAGCTCAGCCAGTGGGGGAGGGGCACAGAGGATGCGAGTCACAGAGCTCTCAACCTGGGAGCAGAGACATCGCGCGTCTCCAGCACGTGGGTCCTAGGGAGGGCCTTGGCGCGGGTGCCGGGTCCCCTGACAGCCTTGCCCTCACAGCCTTCCACGAGGTGGGCGGGTATTCGGGGCTTTTCGACAAATACTTGGGGGCAATGACGTCGCTGACGGTTTCTGAGGATCCGGCGGTGGGCAACATCTCAAGTTCCTGCTATCGACCCCGGCCGGACTCCTACCATCTGCTCCGGGACCCTGTGACGGGGGACCTGCCGTGGCCGGCACTACTCCTGGGTCTTACCATCGTCTCGGGCTGGTACTGGTGCAGCGACCAGGTGCGGGGTCGGGCTTGGGCCGGGAGGGAGGCTGGGGCAGAACCAGAACCGCTGTGGGAGGAGCTGAGATGGGTGGAACCGGAACCCGTATGAGGACGCTCAAAGGCTGGGTCTGAGCGGTCAGGAACCTCGCCAGGATGGAGCTAAACCAAACCCAGCGGAATCCAAAGACTCTGGGTCTGAATGAAGGTGAATTGCCAGCACCGCTGAGCCAGAGGCAGGCCTGAATTAGAGCAGCGAGTAGAGGCAAGGCCTGAAGAGGGCAAGGTATCCAGGTTTGGACGCAGGTAGTTGAACAGCCCCCGCCGCAGGTCATCGTGCAGCGCTGTCTGGCCGGGAAGAACCTGACCCACATCAAGGCGGGCTGCATACTGTGTGGCTACTTGAAGCTGATGCCCATGTTCCTCATGGTCATGCCGGGCATGATCAGCCGCATTCTTTATCCGGGTAACGTCTGCAACCCCCGCCCCCACCAAGAGTCCTGTGCCCCGTCCAGCCCCTTTCTTGTGTATGGCTACAGGTGCCTCTTTCCCATTTCCGTTACTGTCCTTTGCTTTGGAAATCCTGTCACCCAGTCCCACCTCCCACCAGAGGTCCCATCTCTCTTCCACTAGGATTTCCCGTCCCCACTTCAGGGATCTGAATTCCCTGACCAGGTCCCGTTCTAGCCACGTCGTGGCCTCTTTCCCGCAGATGAGGTGGCGTGCGTGGTGCCCGAGGTGTGTAAGCGCGTGTGCGGTACCGAGGTGGGCTGCTCCAACATCGCCTACCCGCGGCTTGTTGTGAAGCTCATGCCCAACGGTAAGGGCCGGCTGGCTGCGGAGACTGCCACTGGGAGGAGTCACCCCTCACCGAGTCCGCACCCTCCCGGGGACACCCTGGTGGCCCGGGACTCACAGCTCCCATCGGCCTGCAGGTCTGCGCGGACTCATGCTGGCGGTCATGCTGGCTGCGCTCATGTCCTCGCTGGCTTCCATCTTTAACAGCAGCAGCACGCTTTTCACCATGGACATCTACACGCGCCTGCGGCCCCGCGCAAGCGACCGCGAGCTGCTGCTAGTAGGACGGTGCGGCCTGGGTTTCCCCCCAGGTCCTGCCCCACCAATCGGCCCCCTGGGGGCAGGGGCAGGGAACACTCGTAGGATCAGGGGCAGATGGGGAGTCCCGGGTGAAATCTCCTGATGGTCACCCGCTGCAGGCTCTGGGTGGTGTTCATCGTGGCGGTATCCGTGGCCTGGCTACCCGTGGTGCAGGCAGCGCAGGGCGGGCAGCTCTTTGATTACATGCAGGCCGTCTCCAGCTACCTGGCGCCACCTGTGTCTGCCATCTTCGTGCTGGCACTCTTCGTGCCCCGTGTCAACGAGAAGGTGAGTCTGTGTGCAGGTGGCGAGCTTGGGGCAGAACCTGGACATCCCCAAGAGGCTGAACACTCTCTCCCCCGGCAGGGTGCCTTCTGGGGACTGATTGGGGGCCTGCTTATGGGTCTGGCACGACTTGTTCCTGAGTTCTCCCTTGGCTCGGGCAGCTGTGTGCAACCCTCGGCGTGCCCAGCACTCCTCTGTGGCATGCACTACCTCTACTTTGCCATCGTGCTCTTCATCTGCTCCGGCCTCCTCACCCTTGCAGTCTCACTGTGCACAGCACCCATCCCACGCAAGCACGTAAGTGCCGGCCTCTGCATGGGCGCCAAGTATGCAGCCCTCTCTACCCCTAGCCTGCCAATCCACTTCCAGGAATGCCCGGTGAGGAGCACCTGGATTTCTATACTGGGGGTTCGTGAGGGTAGACTGGCAGTCCAGTTGGAAGCTGCATTTGCAAAGCAAGCACAATGTTTTATTTGAATGACATTTATTTGAGGGGTTCTGGGGGGGAGGTGGCTTGAAGACTGTGAGGGAGGTGATGAAAGCCCCCCAAAGTCCTTGGAATGGCCCCTGGGACTCAGAACACCGATCTGATTGGTGGCTGAGAGGGACAGAGTACTATCCTGAAGGCCCACAAAAGGGTTTGGTCTTGTGCTGCTGCAGGGTAGGTGCCCCAGAGCAGGGCTGATTGGGGGCCAGGCCAGAGGAGCTGGGCAGAAGGATGGGCAGGGCTGCACAGGTGGAGAAGGAGGGAAAGGTAGCAGGAGGAAACTATGTGAACAAATATCCGCAGGAAGGAACACTGTTAGCAGGACTAGAAGACTAGAGTCTAAAGGACCATAATTTGAGCGTAGACAGGGACTTGGGGTAATGAAGCAGGGGCTGACCAGGGCCAACAGCTTTAAAGACACAGTTGAAGAACTCAGGTTCAGTCTGAGGGCGAAGGGCAGCCATGGAAGGTCGGGTTTGAGTGAACGGAGTCTGAACTGTGTGTACAGGGTAGACAGGGGGAGCTGAGGGAGTACCAGGCGGACAAGAGACTTGAGGGGCCCGGGTGGGGGAACAGCACTCTCACTTGGTCCCTGCCCCCTTCCCCAGCTCCACCGCCTGGTTTTCAGTCTGCGGCACAGCAAGGAGGAGCGAGAGGACCTGGATGCTGATGAGCCGGCAGGTCCAGCCTCCCCCCCTATACAGAACGGGTGTCCGGAGCATGCAGTGGACATGGAGGGTGAGGTGCTACTTCAGGAGGTGGGGCCAGGGACTAGGGGAGCCAAGTTCCCTCGAACTAACTGTACAGGGTCAATTTTTCCCAGAGCCCCAGTCCCCAGCTCCAGGCCTGGTCCGCAGGTGCCTGCTCTGGTTCTGTGGAATGAGCGGGGCGGGGGCGGGCAGTCCCCCTGCCCCTACCCAGGAGGAGGTGGCTGCAGCAGCCAGGCGGCTGGAGGACATCAGCGAGGACTCGAGCTGGGCCCGTGTGGTCAACTTCAATGCCCTGCTAATGATGGCTGTGGCCACGTTCCTCTGGGGCTTTTATGCCTGAGGCCAACTCTGTTGGACACCATGAGCCACAGCCAGGGCAGGGCTCAGCCTCACAATGAATGGGCAGGAGGAGCCTGCAGTGGTGAGAAGGGAGAACGGCAGGAGCGGGAGGGGGTAGGCCCTGGTTCCCCTTCTCGCCACTTCATCTCTGTCTGGGGGCCCTGTCCATCTGACTGGCAGTTATAGCCCATGAGGCCTTGGCCAAACTGCCACAGCAGTTCCCCTAAGCGAAAATAAAGCCGCTGTTCCCACATCCTGCTGTGGCCAAAGTGTGCTTGCTCCAGGCTCCTATCCTGGGACCTGGGCCTCTATCTGGGCTGCTCACAAGATCTTCTTTTCCGGAGAGAGAAGCCATGTGGCCCTCCACTCATCCACCTCTAGCTGGTGCTTCTCAGTCTTCCAGCCTGCATCCTGCAGTCCTGGGGAGAGGTCATAATAAGGATGCCGCTGGCACTGCTGGGAAGAAGGCTCTAGGGAGTCTGGGGAGAGTGGTAAGGAGCAGCACGGGCCAGGTGCATGCTCTGTGTACTGCCCGGCCTCCTCTCGCCTCTGCTGGGTCATTTCTGGCACAAAATGAGGCTAAAACCTCATCTGGCTGTAGTGAGAATTCACTGAGTTAGCACATGGAAAAGAGCTGGAATGGAGTAGGTGCTAAATGAAAGATCATCATTAGTCATTTGTGAGCCGCCCACCCCCCCGCCCCCAGTTCTTCGATGCCAACTGGGATTATACAGATTGTCAATACTGACACCGCCTCAGTACCCCGACCCTCCCCATACTGCAGACAGGGAAACGGGTTAGGCAGGGTCTCTGAGGAGAAGGCCCCAGAGGCCAAAGAGCCATGGAGCTTAAGGATGTTACCTTTCAAGAACTTTGGGAATAGCCTGTCCAACACTCGGTGTGTCTCCCTGACGATGACCCAGCTCTCTTTCTCAGGACCTGGAGGTGGGTGCAGAACCAGAAGCTGTCAGGTCCCCAAGTGTAACACAGTCCTCTCTACCCCTCTTCGAGCCATCAACAGTCTAGACTGTGAGGTGCTTACCTGCCCGTACTCGGTTCCTCAGTTCCTCCAGTTCTCTTGGGAGGGGCCCATCTCCTTGCAGGGCTTCAAGCACCAGTCCATGTGTGGCAGCCCTTAGGATGGTTTCAGGGCCTGCCATCTGGCTCAAAACAACTTGCACCTGGTCTGGAGAAACCCAGAGACAGACTGGTACTAGGGAAGGGCCACCTCCCTAAACACCCTCAAACCTACCATCCTGCTTCATCCCTGTCTGCCCTGAGGCCTTAGCCTGGCATGGAGGGAGGCTATCTTTTACCCTTTCCCTTCCATCTTCATCTCCTGTTGTCCCAATGTTCTGGCCAAACTGAAATGCTCAATTTCCAAATACAACTTTATAGGAGCCCACTGAGGTGGGTTTACTTTGCATGTCTAGTAAGAATAAGCACCTTTTAGCACACAACCAGCAGACCGGTAAACTCCGGTACCTGTTTCCTTAACAGGTGACTCTGGATGGGAGAGAAACGTTCTCCAGGGGTAACCAAAGGTCATAATCTTATTTGAGTATGTTGCAATATATAAATTGCTTTACATAATCGCCTTCTCTGGTTCTCATAAAAACACACAGACAATAAGGCAGGTATTGTTAGCCTTATTTTACACAGGGACAATGTGAATTTCATTGGGGCATGCACCTATAATTTGAAGGCACCAGGTCTTAGTCCAGAGCTCCTTCCAGGACACCAGGCAGCCTCTAAATTGTCCAGGGCTTGAGGCCTTGGAGCTGGTGGAATGAGAAGTTGACCCCAGAAGGGTGAATCTAAGGCTGGAAGAGCACGGCACACTTACTTTGTGACTGGTCCCAGCGAAGGAGGTAGGGTTCTTGGTGTCCCTCAGCCAGCTGTTGCAGCTCAAAGACACTGAAAAGAAAGAAGAAAGTGGAGTGGGGCAGGAGAAAGCAAAAGCAGGAGTAGCCATTCGGTCGGCTGAACTGTCCTTACTTCATGTGTCCTTCACCCCCTTCTCGTCTCTCTCAGCCAGTACCCCTGCACGCCACATCCATCCTTCTTTTCTTCCTGCATCTAACAAATGTATCCCTCGTATCTACTCTGTGTCACACCCCTGCTGCCCTCAAACACCCATGCTGACCCCAAGTCTGGTCAGTGGCAATAAAGAACCAAGAATAGAGAGGTGAGGCCTGGTCAGGGGAGGCCAGTGTGTAATCAGAATAAAGAGCATATTTGGGGGGGGGGTGGCAGCAGGGGTGGGTGGGAGACACTGGGCCACTTACCTGGAGATCAAGCGGTGTAGGGGGACCCCCAGGCATAGAGACAGAGACGGCCAAAAACCTGTGGGAAGCTGGAGTCAGGATGCCCAGACCGGGGAGAGACTGGGAGACACAGTACTTGAGACCAAGGGGTTGGGTCACCTGTCCACAGTGGCTCCGTCTGATTAGCTGAGGTGGGGCCAAGTACCTCTCCCCTCTGAAGGAAGTGCTTCAGGACCAGCCGGAGCCGGCCTTCATTCAAGGTCTCTAGGACAAGGGCTCGGACTGCCCGGTAGTTGGCGTAGATGTGAAGAGCCGTGAGGAAGAAGAAACAACCGAGGCTGAAGCTGGGTGGGAGAATGGGGTGGTCAACAGGGGCGGAGGCCTGGCCGGGCACCTCCTCCCTGCCCTTGATCCTGTCTTACCTAGGGCAAGCTGACACCAGGGGAAGCATCAAGAGGCTGACCAGGAGCCCTGCCAGGTTTACCAATGTCTCCTAGAAAATGGCAGAAGGGCTGGGAGTTGGAGGGCTTCCTTCCAGGCCAGGCTGAATAACCTTGAGTGCCTTTCACCACATTCCTCCCTGCCCCAGTTCCTCCCAGGGCTCCCTACACTGATGAGGATGCCTAGTGAAGTTTTTAATGAGTGAGCTGTCATTTAAGATACCAGCTGCTTCTGTCTAGGGAGATACAATGCCCTTGGAACATGTCTTCTTTGTTTTGCAAGAGTCCTCTGAGTAGCCCTATACTCGGGCAAGCGAATGTCCTCAAAATGAGAAAGTTCTTGTATTTGGTGGTTTAAAAAGACTGATCCCCCTTAGCCCCGTGGTATACAAAAACTGACAGACACATTTGCGAAGGGTTCAAGGAACCACTCAGGAAGAAAGGCACAAGATCCAAACCTCTTCCCTTGAGAATCAATGTTATCAGAACGCTCTGATGGCCTGAGATGGCCTGACTGGCCAGACACCAGGCCACCTGTCCCCAACTACTCATGAGGGAGGAAGAGTCTGGATCGGTGCCCCTGACCACTGGGGTCCAAGGGAGAGCTGGTCCTGGCACAAAGCGGGCTTGAGGCTGGGAGAGCTCTTCCTACCCAGCTGTCCTGGCAAGGGGGTGGGCTGTGGAAATAAGAGCTATGGGTGTAAATAGGTGGTAAATGGGAGATTAGAGGGCTTGGCTGCGCAGGAGCAGAAGGACCTCCCCTCCCTCAGGTGGGAAGAGTCATTTCGGGCAGCCCCATCAAGTGGCAATAAAGCAACATCAGCAGAAAGCAGGGGCCTGCCGCAGGACTGAGCATATGTCCTGCACTGCCCCTGTGATGTGTCCCTGCTTCTGCAGACTGAGGGAGCCCTGGGGCTTGGAAAACACAGCCTAGGGGTATGGGGAGGGCTGGGGGTTAGAAAGAGAGGAGGTGAGAGGCAGCAGGCATGGAGCTGGGAGATCCTAAAGCACCAAGTCCCGGGTTGTACTTATTTCTCCCTTCCTAATGACCTAGGGAAGACATAATGGGGAAGAATTAATCCAACCATTTCCTGAGAGAAGGGATGTGTCCAAAGGTACTCAGGGGGACTGAAGCTATGACTTATTTCCTCATCTGTAGAATGGCAACAGTGAGTCCCTCCTGTATAAGACCACTGTGAGGATTTAATGAATTCATATAAATGAAATACTTGGCACATGGTTAGTGCTTAATAAATATTAGCTGGTGTTTATATATATATATATATATATATATGTATATATATGAGTGTGTATGTGTATATATATATATATATATGTTTTTCAGCTTCTGTTACTATTGTTGAAAGGAGTTAATTTTAAATTTAAAAAAATTTCTATTTAGAAACTGAGCAAAACAATTTAAGAGAAGGATAGAGTGTAGGACCGGACAGAACAGAGGTTTCTAAATTGCTTCAGTGTCCAAACTATGTCACACTTCTGACTAACCTGGGCCTCATTTTCCTCTTCTGTGAAACAGGGATAACAATAATAATAGCCCTCCTGGGGCTGGTGTGAGAGTTAAACACCACAACACACATAAGCACCTAGCACAGGAGCCTGGGAGGATCCAATACCTGTAGAGTTCAGCCTTCGGGGTCTCCACCTTTCCTCCAGGACGCCCTGGTCAGGTGAGGGGCTGGGTCAAAAAGGCCTACAAAACTGTCAAGTGGAGACTTCTGGCCAATGACCCCAGCTACCTCACATGCTGAGCAGTTTTTGACTTGCCAAGTGCTTTAACATATGGGGCCTCACGTGGTCAGACATCCACCTCCCAGGTTGGGGCTATTGGCCCAGAGAGGGCGAAGGCCAGGGCAAGGGCCCACTCTTGGTCACACAGGCAGTGGGAAGGGGCTGAGATGATCAGCTTGGACTTTTGCCACTAGAACTCATGCCCTCAACCTGACTACCCATGTGAGTCAGAGCAGGGAGCACGACAGTTCTTCCTGTGTGTCGGTCTCCCAACCCTACCCTCAGGAGCACTCAGGTGCTTGTCTCCACACTCCCAAACCATGGCCTGGCCTGCCTCCCTGCTCCGACTCCCCCCAACCCCAATTCCAGCTGCTCACCTGGCTGCTATCCTTGGCTGACACATCAGCCATGTTGTTTCTCCTGGCCTGGTGCATGGTCAGGGCAGCCCGAGTGGCCCCACCAGCCACGCTCACAATGCACTAGGTAGGGAAAGGGAGAAGGAAGGTCAGAATGGCCACGTGTTGCGGCAACATAGGCACTTCTGTGGCTAAGCCAAATAAATGACTCAAAGCAGTTTGAGAAAACCAGGCATCAGGTGACCAAAGAGCCAAACCCTGAATGCTGTCCTTGGTTATCTCGTTCTCATTCCCACACTTCCACTAGATCCACCTCCCCTCTCTTGTTCCTGGAGAAAACTAACGCCCTGCCTGTCTCACCTCCCTGTGGCCTAGTCCAAAGGAGCTCCATTTATTTCCCCAAGGTGGAGGCCCAAACACTGTTCCTAGCCCACAACTTCTCCAACCTCCAACTTCTACTTTGGCTGCACCTGCCCCTTTGCTAAGCTCCCCGGCCCAGGCTGGTTTCCAACTTTATGCTTCCATTCTGCCCGTAACTAACTCCACTCTCTTCCTGTCCCAGTGGAGGCCCAGGCAAGTCTTCCAGGCCACTTCAAAACCCACAGTGATGGCCCTGACCTCCCAGGACACCTGGGCCTCCTCAATCCCTGAGATCTAGGATGGTAGAACTCATCAGTGAGGGTCACTGATCCCTGTCATCCATCTCATATTTATCAAATCTCGTTTAGATGCCAGACACAGATTTAGTGCTGTGATATAATTCGGATATAACCCTTGCCCTCATTAAGTGTATAAATCAATAGACAATAACATTAAAAACTAATGTTGTAATGTATGGTGATTAACATAATAATAAAAAAAATAAATAAATAAAAAGAACTCAACAAATTCCAGGAAAAAAAAAATCAATAGACAATAAATAAACACACAAGTTGTCATGCAGGCAGAAGGAATAATTCGCTCAAAGGTAAGAGGAATGTGGTACAAAATGAGGCTGGAGTGACCAGATCCTGTGGACCTTGTTAAGGAGCAATGAGGGCAGGGAAGTGACCTGATTTGATTTCCCTTCTTAAAAGGATTATGCGCTGCTCTGAGAAGTAATGAAGAGAGGTGAGAATGGAAGCAGGGAGACCGCCTAGGAAGCAACCGTGCTTTTTCAGCAACAAGGAACCACCAGAGGGAGGTTTAGCTGAAGGTAACACGAAGGTAACAGTGGGAGAGGAGAAGGCATGGATGACAGCCAGGCTTCTGACCAGTGTAGCTGGGATACGGAGGTACTAGGCACTGAGACTAGGACTCTAGAGAGGGTGGGAGGTGGTCAGGGAAAGTTCATGGCCCTATCTTACTCCTGTATTTGACAGATGAAGAGACTGAGGCCCCAAAGGCAAAGTATAATGCATAATTTCAAACAGATGGCAGAGGTCACAATCGTTAGTCTACAGCGACAGCACTGGTTTTCTCTGGTGTTTCCTGCCCTGGAGTTGGAGGGGGTGCTCGGGGCAGTGTGCCTGGGCCAGGGACTGGTACCTGGGCTGAATGCAATCCACCACAAAGAACTGTTGTGTCTGAAATGTCACTGGTGCCCTGTGGAGAAGCACTGCTCCGAAGTGATTTTGAACAGATAGATGGGCTTTTGAGATGGATCTGACGTCTTCTTGAGTCACTGCTTTGTGCCAGGTACTTTACTTAACCCTGTGGTGAAGACAGGCTAAGCTCTTTGCTGAATTTTGCTATGCCTCAGTTTCCTCACCTGGACGCAGCCAACCTGAAGGAACTGTGAGGGTGAGCAGCCTGGCAGAGACGAAGAGCTCGCATTCACCCCATGTGACCCTCCAGCCTCACAACCACTTCATGCTGTCTTGCCCCTGGACCTTGACCCACACTGTTCTTTCTACTCAAAAACATCCACCCTTCACCTTAAACTCAATTCTTCAGGACCCAGGCCTAGGGAAAGGGCCTATCCCTTGACTAGGCCAGAATCCCTGCTCAACCCTCTTGTAGCCTCCCACACTTCTCATCTGGAATACCTGTAGCTACAATGTTATAAACATTTGTTTAATTATGTGCAGCTTTCTTCAAAGAAAAAAATGGGAGGGCCTATATTTTATGCCAAACATGCAGTAGGCTCTCCCTAAGTATTTTACTGAAAGAATGAAAGCTAGCCAGGGAGCTGGTCCCAACATGTTGACATTGGAACACCTTTTCTATCTTTCAGCTCACAGCTCCTCACCAATCCTGTGGTTTCAGACACTGTCTTAGGCTATGTGAGGCACTATTTGGCTGGAGGAGAATCAGAAAATATGGTTGAGTTCGAGTAGAAAAAATCTGAACTTCTTCACTCTTCTACAAGTGCTTTGAACACAGGGCCCAGGCTGGTCTCACTTGTGGGCCCCAAGTAAGCCCACACAGGCAGGTGTAGGGGATGCCCCATGGATACCTTGGCCAGGTTGCTGGTACAGACGGTCATGGTGAAAAAGACTGGATATATGGGAGCCATAATCTCGAGGAACATGGCTACATCGTTGAGGACATCAGCAAAAAGCCTGGGGGGAGGGATCAGAGGTTAAAGATCAGAGGTAGGAGACCTTCATAACAGACTTCCCTCCCCTCTGTCTCAGCCCCTCCTTACCTCCACTGCTTGGCATTGCAGTCCAGTTTACTCCTGTTGGGGAGGAGACATTGGTTTACAATTCGAATTTAAGGAGAAAACACATCCCGTGGGCAGGCTGAGGTTAGGTCTGAAGGGCTCAGCGAAATCCATACCCCAGGCAGACATCTGTCCCAACACCCTGTCACTGCTGCCTGAAATACCATTAGCTGGGAGGACCTTCAGTGGTCACTTTGTGTTTGCCCCTCACTAACCCATGATGCATCAGGGAAAAGAACTGACTGTCTCGTGGCTGCTCCCCACCCTTTGGCCCTCCCCTGGGAGAAGCCATCCCTGGGTCCCTCTGACATCTCCCCACCCCTTCCTCCCACTTGACTGAGGGTAGCCAGCAAGAAGTCCACATATTTGAGACTGGTAAACAACTACATTTAGTGTAACCCCCCACAGGTTACAGGTAAGTAGCCCAGACTGGGGACATGACGTCCCTCAGGTCACATGGAAAGCAGGGGCCAAGAAAAAAAAAAAGGCCAAGAGAAAGAGGCAGGCTCTGACATCTAGGCCTAGGATACTTCTATCACCAAGAGGATAGATGCCTCTTCTTGTCAGGCACAGGGACTCCCTGGCCCATGCACAAACTCCTGGGGAACTCTCCTCCAAGAGTCCAGTAGCAGAGGGCGTTGTAGCCCCAGACCAGCTCAGAATTTGCAGCATTAGCCCTGTTCCTTACTTTGAAATCTCCTGGAGGGAAAAGGAGCATTCCTAGGTGGGGTATGGGACACACATTAGAAACTTCTGAGGGAATAAATGGCAGAGGCAGGACCAGAACACGTGGGCTTGGTCTAGGGCTCTGCCCAATAAAGCAGCCTGACACTATTAGTTACAAGCCGTGCAACTTGGGTAAGTGACTTCCCTTTTTAGGTCTGCTAAAATGTACATATTTAATCCTTCTCTACAAAGTTGTTCTGAGGATGAGAGAGGATATGTAGAGAGCTTATGAGGCACAGGGCTGTTAGCAGCAGCTAACACTTATTAGGGTTAATAATAAGTGTTGTTATTATACTTAGTATGTGCCACAATATGCTATGCACTTTGCATAACCCATCTCACTGAACACATTGTAGGTAGTGTCTGCCTACAATTAATTGCAGATACTAAATCACTCCTGAGGTTGCCCATTACCGACATGAGGAGGAAGAAGGCAGCACAAGATCCTTAATGCCTTCTAGATAAATGGTACGCTGATTCCATGTGGGACAGGGATCCCGATGACCTGCCCAAGTCTACTCCCCACTAGGCTTGGCAAAGTCCAATCAAGTCTCTGAGCCACCAAAGTAGCTTTTGGAGTAAAATCAATCCTTTTGAATTCAGCATTGTCCTGTTCAGGCTTCTCTTTCAACAAGCAAACAGAGGACACTTAGAGCCTTGTAGCTGTATTTTTCCACGATGGGCAGTGGAATGGCCAATCAGTGTTCTTGAAGGCAGGCGTGATCATAGCAATGGCTTGTGGCTTCATTGCTAGGGCGAGCCACCTGGACTGGGTACTTACTAAGTAAGTACCTTAGCTCTGATGAAATAATTGCTAAATCTCCCCTCCCCTGGAGACTGGGAGGAGAGAGGAGCTGCTGAAAATACAGCCAAGGATGAGACAGACGTGACCCCCGTCTGGGGAGAGTGGCCAGACCAGGAAGACAAACTCACCCCTTCCACCAGGCAAAGATGATGCGGCCCAGCATGCCAGTTGAATCTGGGGGAGAGAGGCATTGGTAAGGAACAAGGAAGAGCCTTGGGGGCTGTTGGGCCCCGCAGACCCTGGCACTGAAATGGCCGATTCACCTTGCATCACTGCTCTTAGGAACTCAGTGTGGCAAAATAAATATTGGATAGACAGAGCTGTATCATGGGGTCAGAAGTGTCTAGACTTAGCAGTTCCTCAAAATGTACCCCAGAAAACTATGTGCCCATGCACACCAAGAGACATGGACCAGAAATACTCTTTGCAGCATTGTTCATAAACAGCCAAAGACTGGGAATAATGCAAATGCCCATCAGCAGGAGACTGCATAGATACATTCTGGTATATTCACTCAGTGGCATATTAGACAGCAGCAAAAATCTAATGCACAACTACTCATATCAAAATGGGTGAGTCCTAGTATTACAATATCGCATGAAAAAGTAAGCCATGAAGACTACATACGGCAAAATACACTTCTCGTAAGGCTCTAAAATGAAACAATACAGTGTTTAGATAGATATATATCTATATGGCAAAACTATAAAAAAAAAAAAAGGAAAAGCAGGAAATTCTGTGTGGAAAGTTCAGAGGTTATCGTTGATATTTTAGTTCTTAGGTTGGGCAGTGGGTTCACGGGTGGTCATTAGAGTATCAATTAAAAAAAAAGGGGGGGGATTTGAATTACAGTTCGATGATGACAGCTGGGGGTGTGGGGCAGAGGGAGAGGCCTCCTCAGGCTAACCAGAGTCAGAGAAGTCTCCAGAATCAGCTAGACCTTCATTTGCACAACAAATGCTTACTGGCTACTTTTGTGCCAGGCATTATAAGAGGTAAGGGGGTACCGTGACCCAGAAGGTCATGGTTCCAGACTCAAAATACAGCATAAAAGCAAACATCGGTATGAAAAACACTGATTTAGACCAAGGATCAGTTAACTGTGGTCTACAGTCGTCACTCCCTGTTTTATAAGTAAAGTTTTATTGGAACATAGCTGTGCCCATTCATTTACAGACTGTCCATGGCTGTTTTTGTGGCACAATGGCAGAATCAGTTGCTGTGACTGAAACTATACAGCCTGCAAAGTGTAAAAATATTTACCATTCGGTCCTTTACGGAAGGTTTTCCACCCCCTGATATAAACCTCTTATATTGAGAATAGCATTCATTAAGTTCAGCAGGGGGATCACAAAGGACTGTTTTAGAACCCAACAACTGGGAAGGCCTCATACAGTGGACACTGGAAAGGAAAGATACAGTAGGCAGAGGACTCCTAACTTGTTTGCACTCGAGGGCATGGACCCTTAAGGGAATGCAGGAAGGGAAACTAGGTTTTGGGGAGGGTTGGGAGTATCCTACAACATAAAAAGGTGGTGACAGGCTGGCCTTCCCCATTCTCCACTGGAAAGAGTGGTACTCACCCCTTGCCCCAACCTCTATCCTTGGGCAGTGAGGCCTTCTACCTAGACATCTTTACGAAACTCGGGGCCTGAGGAACACCAGTAAACAGGCTGGTGGTCACCTGAAATCCCTCCTCCTTTCAAACTTCAGCACAATCCTATGAACTTCTGAGAGATCCTCCCTTTCACAGATGAAGTAACTGAAGCTCAGAGAAGCTAGGTCAACAAAAATGGGACACTTTATGAGAAAATCTGGATTTCCAGCTTTTCTGGAAGAACCTGAAGACATGGCAACCCTGAACCTCTCTTCCCTTACCACCACAACTGGCTGGGGCTGAGCAGTGGCTACTTCAGACGAGGCATATGTGCATTTCTTACTGGGCCTGCTCCACTTCTCTATTTCTGTCCCCTGTATATCCCTGGAATACCCACCAGGTGGCTTTATAGGCTTCCTCTATCACCCACTTTACCCTCTTTCTTTCAACTATTATTTTATTCACCACAAAAACTTTACTGTTCCACTTAAGATTCTTGTATTGGCTCAACTTAGTGACACTGAACATGCCAAGGTTACTTTTTACTTGTCGACAGCTCACTGGGCCAGACTCTGTTTTTCTTCCCTCTGACTGCACACTCATATCCAATAAGGTGTATGTCCTGCATACAAGGGCCACTGGGTAGAAAGGGGACCCACTCTATGTTTCACCAGCAGTCTGCAGGGCCCTTGTCAGAATCTGGAAGTTGGCACTAGGATGCAATAATGCCACATTCCCTCCCTGTATCTGAAAGTCAACACTGTCCACTAGATAGGAAACTTAATTCCCATTTGCTCTGCTTTGCCTCACTTACAATTAGCTGAGCTATACGATCTAGAAACTTTTGAGCAGTCGTAAGGGATCAGCTGTCCACAAATTGTACTAGGCTCCACTCTAAATCCCACTGACAAGAATGTGGCAGCGAAGAGTGGGACACAGGAGTCAGTCGGTCTGGGTCCAAATCCTGGCCCTGTGTTAACTTAGGCAAGTTACAAAACCTCTCTGAAAAAGATATTAGTAATAGTTTCTCCCTAATATGGATGCTGTAGAGATTAAGTTACATATTACAAGTAAGTGTACAAAATTCCTGGCATACAGTATAGGTTGTCAAAATATTAGCTGCTAGTACTATTACGATTGTTAGTTATGACAATTAACACCACGTCCCACTAAGAGATCTGTAACCAAAAATGACTTAAAAAAAAATTCCAAGGGAGTTTTTTTTCTTTTTTCCCAAGGGAGTTTCTTATCTAAAGCTCCACATACAAATTTCCCAGGTTTGATGGAAATGAGTTTGTAAACTGTTTTGTAGTTAAGGCTTCCTTATACCAACAATAGGCTTTAAAAAGTGGGTATTTTTTTTCCTACCTTAAAATGGTCTTATTTTTTCCTAATAACTTAAACACGTATATGGGCAACATGTTGGTGATAAGACTAGGGTGCTTAGAAATGACGTGATAACATCAATTACTGATTCATGTTCCTGCTGCACTCCACTCAGCCAACAGAAGAGCAACAGAAAAGGTCCAAATTAAGCAGTTTGGTGGTATGAAAATGAATCCGGAACTAAACCTCCTGGCTTCAGAGCCATGCCCTACAATTTATTGGCTGTGACCCTGGCCAAGTTACTTTTTTGTGCCTCAGTTTTCTTATCTGTAAAATGGGTATAATGACAATACCTATCTCAGAGCTACTGTGAAGTCAGCATTTTTAAAGACTGGCAAATAATAAACACTGTTTGTGTGCACTATTATTATTAAAAGAGATAGCTAGGAGTGAAATAAGTCCATCAGAGAAAGACATGTATCATATGACCTCCCTGATATGAGGAATTCTTAATCTCAGGAAACAAACTGAGGGTTGCTGGAGTGGTGGGGGGTGGGAGGGATGGGGTGGCTGGGTGATAGACATTGGGGAGGGTATGTGCTATGGTGAGCGCTGTGAATTGTGCAAGACTGTTAAAATCACAGATCTGTACTTCTGAAACAAATAATGCAACATATGTTAAGAAAAAAGAAAAAGAAGAAGATAGCAGGAGGGAAGAATGAAGGGGAGTAAGTCGGAGGGGGAGACGAACCATGAGAGACGATGGGCTCTGAAAAACAAACTGAGGGTTCTAGAGGGGAGGGGGTGGGGGGATGGGTTAGCCTGGTGATGGGTATTAAAGAGGGCACGTTCTGCGTGGAGCACTGGGTGTTATGCACAGACAATGAATCATGGAACGCTACATCACAAACGAATGATGTCATGTATGCTGATTAACATAACAATAAAAAATTTAAAAAAATAAAATAAAAGAGATAGTTAGAACAAGAAGCCCTACAGAGAAAGGTTTCTTTCAAGAGGCGACGCGCATTTGGCCAGTTTGCTCAGTCTTAATAAGGATGTTAAGCAGGAGCCTCCAGATCCTCCAAAAGATCCATGGAGACTCACCAGAGATGTGGCCAGGCTCATGCTAGGAGCAGAAAGAGCCTTCTCTTGGGTCTGATTTAAGTTCCCACAGGGAACCAGTAATGAAAGACAAAGGACAGCGAAGAGAGCCATAGGCCCTCCTGATGTGGAACCCGTGGCCGTTTCCCTTTTCTTCTCTGCCTCACTCTTTGGGTGGCATGGTGCCAAACCACATGTTCTATTTTTCATTAGTGGTTTTTCAAAAAGCTGTACACATCCAGCAGAAGGTTACTACAGTTATTATCATCCGGTATCCCAGAGGTTCTAAGATGCCTTTCGTCTTTCCCAGAACCTCCTCTTTCCTACTCAGGACTAATCACAAAACTGTTTTTTTCCTAGAACGGAGCCATTTCCCGCATTTCAAGCAGCCGGTCGTTTTATTCAGTAACCGCATTCTTATGCAGTGCTCCACTAAAAGCCTAGGGGTAAAGGAGAGGGGATGATTAACTTAGCGACGTGAGCTCCAGATGATTTAGAGATTCTGAACAGTATGGGGAACTGAGGGCGGCTGCAAGGCTGGTGCTAGGGATGAGGATATTCTGGTCGCGGGCGACTAATTAATTGTTGAATAAAACCAATAAAAATACCGTTTTAGGGACTGCGGAGAGCTGCCTCCCAGATCCAGTCAGGAACGAGTCCGTACAAATACACATCACAGCCCAGAACTAGAGGCCAGAACACTGGGATGGGGGAAAGGAGCGGGTGGGCTTCCCAGTAGGAGGAAAAAGAGGCCAGTGAGGTGGCAGGGCTGACAGCAGCGACAGGTGAGGTTCCAGGGGCCCAGCTCACCTTTCACCAACCAGGTGGCAGTGGCAGCTGAAACAGAAGCTTTTGCGTTCCCCACCCCTATGCCCAGCAAGACTGCATGGGTGGCCAGGGAGCCTGAGAGGCTGGAAGCAAAGGCCTGGAGAAGAAAAAAGGTGGGGTGAGGAGTGTGCGCAGGGCCACGGAGGTCTAAGCTCTATTATCAGCTCTCATAGATGTGTGACCTGAAACAGGTCCCAGCCCCGCTCTGGGCCTCAGTCTCCAGTCTCTAAATGGAGGGAGGTGGCCCGCATTGTCTCCCTCACCCGTGGCTACATGCTGCCCCCTCCCCCAGTCGGCCAGGCTGACCTGCACGGAATCCCAGAGCTGGTAGGGCAGGTAGTCCGGGCTGACGCTATCGGGGAAGCCCTGCGGCAGGAACACGGCCATGAGACCGGAGAGAGGTGGTGAAGCAGTCCCGGGAGTCCCCCCGGCGCCGCCATCCCGTCTTTGGGGTTTTGCTGTGAAGGGCCCAGAGAACCCCCACCAGCGCCACCCCGAAACCTCCCACTGCAGGCTCCCATCGGCGGCGGCGAGGCAGCCCCGGGCCGCCCCGGAACCGAACTGCTCGGAGCACAGCTGGGCCTCGGGGATCCTGCCTTCAGCCATCTCAGAACTCGTCCTTCCGGACCTCTAGACGCGAAACGTGGCAGAACCACATTTCCGGCTAGGCTACGGCGGCTGCAGAGGTGCAATCTTTCTTTGCGAAGGCGCCGCCGGCCTCTGCGTCCTCCTTTGTCCAGCTCAGGATCCTACAGTTCCTCCTGGGACCTCTTGGCCCCGCTGCGGATACCTCAGGGCTGGTCTCCGCCTTCGTTCTCTGGAGCATTTTGTTGCTGGACCGCGGGAGCAATGGGAGCCCTTTAGCCCGCCACGTCCTGGAGATACCTGCATTCCTGTAACCCGCAACTTTCAGCTACGGGCAGAAGGGAAGAGGGCATCCCCGGGGAACCGTTGTGTTTGAGACCCAGGACGGCCACAGGATTTTTTGATTTGGGGCGAGTCAGTGTCCCTCTCTGGGCTTAGGTGCCTTCTTTGTTGTGAGAGCAGGGACTATATATTACTCCTTATTTTTATCCCCGGTATCTAACACATAGTACGTGCTTAAAAGATATTATGAATGAATGAATGAACAAACGAAGGAATGCCCGATGAGAAGTTGGAGCAAATGATCCCTGAGGTCCTTGCCTTACCCAAGACTGGAAGAGTAGTATTTCTTTTCTTTCTTTTTCTAAAATTTAAATTCAATTTAGTTAACATACACTGTATTAGTTTCAGAGGTAGAATTTAGTGACTCATCAGTTGCATATAACACCCAGTGCTGGTCACATCAAGTGCCCTCCTTAATGCCCACCACCCAATTACCCCTTCCCCTGACCGACCTCCCTTCCAGCAACCCTCAGTTTGTTTCCTAGAGTTAAGAGTCTCTTATGGTTTGCCTCCCTCTCTGTTTTCATCCTATTTTTCCTGGAAGAGTATTATTTCTGAAAGGATCCTTAGGACGTCTGAAAAATGAGAAAATCAAGGGATTGCAGCTAATAGTCTCAGAAAACGAGAAATAGAGAAGAAATTCTTGTGTGTTTATTGGTGGAAAGGGTCCATGAAATTGGGGTAAGAGTCTAAAGACAGAGTGTTTCTCTCTTTCCCAGCTCATCTCTTTTTCTCTTTCCTGCTCTTCCTTTCTCCTTCCATCTAGTGTAATGTACTGATTCCAAAGTAGAAATTTGGCAAAAGTGCCCTCTTTTTTATCAGAAAAATAAAACATCCCGGTTTCTTAGCCTGGCTTTCTTGGACTCCCACAGTCTGACTCCCTGGTTTAAACTTCTGTTTCTCCTGAACTATTATCACCTTCCTCTTGGACCTCAGCCTGGAACACCCTTCTACCCTGCCTCACCTTATCTGAGACCTACACAGAGTCTCTCTGATGCTAAGATAGACCTGGGGCACTTCATTATTATTTTCTTAGGTTTTGAGTTTCATGTTAGAGTGAAAAACTGAGGGGTTACAAATGTGTAATATTTTTATTTATTTTTTTGTTTATTATTTTTTTAAGTTTTTATTTAAATTCCAGTTAGTGAACATAAAGTGTCATATTAGTTTCAGGTGTACCATTTAGTGATTCAACACTTCCATACAACACCCAGTGCCCATCACAACAAGTGCACTGCTTAATCCCCGTCACCTACTTCACCCATCCCCCTACCCACCTCCCCTCTGGTAACCATCAGTTTGTTCTCCATAGTTCTCATAGAGTCTGTTTTTTGGTTTGTCTCTCTCTGTCCTATTTTTTTCCCTATGCTCATTTATTTTGTTTCTGAAATTCCACATGAGTGAAATCATATGGCATTTGTTTTTCTCTGACTGATTTATTTCGCTTAGCCTAAGTACCCTGGCTTCATCCATGTAGTTGCAGATGGCAAGATGCCATTCTTTTAAACGGCTGAGTAATATTCCCTTGTGTGTGTTTTGTATATAATATATAAATATTAATTACTGAATATATATGTATATATCACATCTTCTTTATCCATTCATCAGTCAATGGACACTTGGGCTGTTTCCATAATTTGGCTATTGTAGATAATGCTGCTATAAATATTGGGGTGCATGTATCCTTTCAAATTAGTATTTTTGTATTCTTTGGGTAAATACCCAGTAGTGCAATTGCTGGATCATGGGGTGGTTCTATTTATAACTTTTTGAGGAAACTTCATACTGACAAATGTGTAATGTTTTAAATATTAGCTTCTGTGAATGCATTGAACTCTGAAGCCAACCTCTATGAATGAATTCCTTCAGAGAGCCTTAGTTTGAATCCAGGTTCTGTTACTTAGTATCTGTGAGATCTCAGGCAACTTTCTTATCTTTCTGTTCTTCAGTTTCTTCATCTATAAAATGGGAATAATACTAATATCTACCACAATAGGTTTGGATTGAGCATTAAATAAGTCACATGTGTAAAGCTTTTAAATTATGTTTGGCACACAGTACATGCTATTTAAGTGTTGGCCATTATTTGGAGCTAATGTCAAGTATTCAAATATGGGTTTTTTTTTTCTCCATATGAGGCAAATGGCCCTCATGACTAGCATCACCATATAATTCATTATCCAAATCAGAATTTTTGAGCATATCATTAGAGGAGACACTATTAACAGTTACACTGGGGAAACAGACTGGAGCTGTTCTGGGCATATTGGTATATATTGTCACACTAATTATGAACCTCTCAGCTTTACTGACCACCATTATCCGCATTGATTTCTCCTGCTCAGAGACCATGGCAGCCCTTGTTCACTGTAGCACTTATTTAGCTCTTAGCATATGCTTTCTGGAGCCAGTTTGTATTTGCTTTTATTAGGTACCTATGTCCCGTCTTTCCAACTGAACTATAAGTGAGGACAAGGACTCATCATACACTTCTTTGAGAAGTGTCCAGATCAATGGCTCGACAAAGAGATGAGTGATGGTTCCCCTTTTCCTACCCCCAGGAAACCTCTTGGTAGTCTGCATTTGACAGTATACCAAACATTGGGCAGAATAGTCCAAGCTGCTTGTCTCCTTGACTTTACCCTCATTGATCCCCACACTTCCACTACTGCTCTCTTACAGTCCACTCTCCATGAAGTTTAAAGCTCCTCTGTTTAAACTTCTCAGTGGTTTCCTATTACTTTTGCGGAAGAAGATTGCAACATTCTCCTCCAAACCCTTCAGTGGTTTTTCACACTTGGAAATGAAACACAAACTTCTTGTCATGACCCACAAAGCGCTGTAGATTGGGTCTTGCCCTATCTCTCAGATATTGCCCTTACCATTCACCCTCTTATTCCTCCCCCTAGAACATAAGCTCCAGGAGGACAGGAACTTTGTCTTTGGCACTGAATATACTCCTAGTGCCCTGTTCCAGTGTCTCGTGCAAGGTAGGTGCCAAATATCAATCTGTGGAATGAATGAATTTATTTTCTCAATAGAACTTGTAGTTATTATTTTTTTCCTTCTTTGCAAACAAGGAAACTGAAACTTATATATGGGAAGTGACTTCACCAAGGTCACAGAGCTGAAAAGCGGCAAAAGCATTCATTTATTTATTCATTCAACAAATATTTACTGAGCAGCTGCTAGGCCTAGTTCTTCTAGGCTCTGAGGCAGGATTCAAATTTGAGGCTAATGATTTTAGAACTACACCATCTTCTTTCTGTCTTTTAAATTTTGTATTCTTTGTAAGAATTATAAAAATAATAGAAGGATGGGCGCCTGGGTGGCTCAGTTGGTTAAGCGACTGCCTTCGGCTCAGGTCATGATCCCGGGGTCCTGGGATTGAGTCCCACGTCAGGCTCCCAGCTCAGCAGGGAGCCTGTTTCTTCCTCTGACCCTCTCCCCTCTCATGCTGTTTCTCTCTCACTCGCTCTCTAATAAATAAATAAAATCTTTTAAAAAAATAATAGAAGGATGCATTCTTTCTGTGAAATAATTCAAACAATAACATAGATAGATAAGGTCAATTTCTCTGTTGACATTTATTCCCTTTTCCATTTCCCAGCAAATACTAGTCAATCCCCACAAGTGAACATTGTTTACTATTCTAGACACACACACACACACACACACACACACTTAAAGAGAGAGAGTTTTATGTTTAATCCTTACTCCTATAGGGTAGTCTGCTCTAACTATGGTTCATTTAACATTATCTTAAAGATTTTTTTTATTTATTTGTCAGAGAGAGAGAGAGAGAGCACGAGCAGGGGAAGCAGCAGGCAGAGGGAGAAGCAGGCTCCCCACTGAGCAGGGAGCCTGATGTGGGACTCGATCCCAGGACCCTGGGATCATGACCTGAGTCAAAGGCAGACGCTTAGCTAACTGAACCACCCAGACGTCCCTTTTTAACATTGACCTTAGATATCTTTTCAAATCAGCACATAAATATCTATCTCATTTATTTTAATAGCTGCATGTCATGCCATAGTATGAATATGCCATAATTTCTTTAATGACTCCTCATATTAATGAGCGTTTGGGTTTTTCTGCCTTTTCATTATTACAAATACTTTCATTATTATTATGGCAAATTCCTTGTACCGGCCTTTCTGTGCATTGAATTGAATAATTCTTTAAAATAGAGTTCAAAGCAGAATCATTGGATTGAAGCATATACATATTTTAATTTGAACAAGTATTGTCAAATTATCCTTCTAAAAACCTTTACCAATTTACACTCCTGCTAACAGTGCATGGAACTGCTTGTCATAATCAGGATATATACATTTCTGTTGTCCAAAAAATTTCCCTTGGGCAGCTTTGCATTTTAATCTCCACTCTTGTGTTTGGATCTGCTTTCTGTCACTATAGACTATTTTTGCCTATTGGAGAATTTCATAGATAGAGAATTACATTGTATATAATATTTTATCTCTGGCTTCTCTTTTTTCAAAAAATTTTAATTTCAGTATAGTTAATATACAGTGTTATATTAATTTTCAGGTGTACAAAATAATGATTCAACAATTCCATGTATTGCTCAGTGCTCATCAGGATAAATGTACTCTTAATCCCCTTCTTCACCTATTTCACCCATCTCCCCACTTCATGTCTTTTTTTTTTTTTAAGATTTTTATTTATTTATTTGACAGAGAGAGACACGG